ATCCTTTAATCTAAGGTGGCGCCTACGTTCAGTGCTCTTGAGGCCATCTCCACAGAGTCTGGAACCTTTGTGAGACCAGTTGAAACAGCTTGAGCAATGCCTGCTGTCTCAACCTACCAACTGAATGGTGAGATCCCATTTCCCCCAAGATCTCATCTGTACTGCTCTTCCTTTCCTTGAGGCTGCTCTTCAAAAATGAGGGCCTTCAGCCAGAGAGGCAGTTCCCAGGTAAAGGGCTTACCTTCACACAGCCAATCCAGGTTCAATGCCCAGTACCCCACGTGGTCCCGCAAACCCAAGTGATCCTCCTAAGCTCAGAGTCAGAAGCCCTGAGAGGCTGGAGAGATAGTACAGAAGGGAGGACATTTCCCTTGCATGCAGCTGGCCTGGTTCCATCTCCAGCATCACAAATGGTCCCCACCCTCTATCCCCAGCACTGCCAGGAATCATTCCTGAGTGAGGAGCCAGAAGTAAGCCCTGAGCAAAGCTGGATGTCATACCCCCACCCCCACCCCTGCCAAAAAACAGCATTGCAAACCAAAAAAAAAAAAAAAAAAAAAAAAATTAAGGACCAGAGCAACAGTAGAGTGGGTAGGATATTTACTTTCCATGGGACCACCTGGGTTCGATACCCACATTCCATATGGTTCCCTGAGCCCTTCGAGGAATAATTTCTGAGGGCAGAACCAGGAGTAAGCTTGAGCATCACTGGGAGCGGCTCATAAAAACAAATCAAAACAAATAAAGAAGCTGGAATCACAGCTGGGTGTGACCCCCCCAAAAAAACACACAAATATAAAAATTAAGGTCTGAAATCCTACCACAGGAAGTGAAAAATAACAGTGCTTATTATCTCTCCTAGAAGTATACTTGTAACACTAAAGAACTGAAAATATAGTCCCAGAGTTGAACATTATTAGGCACACACGTACATACGTATTAACTAGAGTAGTAACAGGCACTGTTACAGGAAGGCTGAATGTCAATAGACTCATCTTCAGGGGAAAGGGCTCAAAGGCCACGCAACTCCTAATTACTGCTGAATGACCCCAAAACCAAGACAAAGGACTCCACCTTTGTCTCCAGATCAGGGCATCCACATTATACACCTCTAAGAGGTATCAATTACATTGTATTCCACACAACACAGCATCAACTGGCATCCCCAGGGATTATAAAACATAGCACCCTACTTTCTGTTAAAAAGCGGCTAAGAGAAAAATTCAAAGCTAACACACAATGGGTAACTTTGAAAGGTTGAGTGTCTTCAATTCAGTCAGCTAATCGGTGGCTGAATAAATAGCAGTACTCCTACATTAAAAAAAAAAAGGCTGGGTGTCTTTAATACTGCAATACAATAAAAAGTCACATGCCTACGTTTCAGACTGTGCATATCTACATGTACAGGAACTAACAAAAGCAACTGAGTCAGTAAGTGTCCACTGTTGTAGTAGCATCCCTCATTTCAAGAAGGATCAAATACGAAACTGATTAGTTCTTTTTAGGGGGGGCATAGTCCAAGTTGCTCAGGAGCTATTCCTGGCCATATGCTCAGAAGTGACTACTGGCGGTGCTGGGGCAGCATATGTGAGCTGATGCTGGGGATTTGAACCATTTCTTGGGATGTAAGGCAAGCGCCTTAACCTGTACTATCTTTCTGGCCCAAAACTGATGCTTTATCTTGAGGGTTGTGGGGGGCTGGGGATTACATCTGGTTATGCTCAGGGCAGATCACTTCTGGTGAACTTGGGGGAAGGGGGGCTTGAACCTGGGTTGGCCACATTCAAGGCAAATACCCTAACTAAAATCAAAATTTTTTTTTAAATATTTATTTAAGCCTTGACTACTAGCCCTGCTCATCAATTTAGCCTTCAAAACGGAGAAACATCCAGAAAAGGTGAATTTGCCAAGGAAATTGTATGTTTAAAAAAAGTAATATATCAAATTTAACCTTAAAAACACTAAGAAATTATTAATTTATCAACCCTAGAGTTGCTTGGGATTTTCTGGGAGGAGAGGAGGGTTATTTCTCTTTTTATAAATTTCCCCCATTTATTTTGGTCACACCCAGCAATGCTCAGGCTCAGTGCTGGGGGACAGCTCCCTAGTGCTCAGGAGATCATGCGGAGCTGGGGACTGAACTGGGGCTCTGCACAAATGCAGACAAAGCATGCATTCCAAGGTGACCACGAACCATCTCTTCCCAGTCCTCAATCCCAAAATTTTTAAGAATTTAAGAAAACAAAGAAGGACCTAGAGACGGTACAGGAGGCAGGACATAGCTAATCCAGGTTCCATCCCCACAACCCAGTATGCTCCCCCCAGACCCACTAGAGTGAGCCCTAAGCACAGAAACAGGAGTCTTTGACTGGGTAATTTACAATTGTAAAAACTAAGCCAAACTATTTGTCAAAGGACAAGAAAATTTAAAAGTAACTATTGTAATATAATCAAAAATCTTCATCCCCTATGGTTCCATTTAAGGTATAACAAAGATTGCTGAAACCTGCACAACAGGAATTAAGTGTTGGACTTAACTTGAAACTATGGGAGGCTGGAGCGATAGCACAGCGGGTAGGGCGTTTGCACATTTGCTTTGCATGTGGCAAACCGGGTTCGATTCCCAGCATCCCATATGGTCCCCCAAGCACCACCAGGAGTAATTCCTGAGTGCAGAGCCAGGAGAAACCCTGTGCATCGTCGGGTGTGACCCGAAAAGCAAAAAGAAAAAAGAAACTAGCAAATTCTTCTGGGCTTGGGTTGGGGAGACAGAGCAAAAGGGCTAGATAGAGCACATGCTCTGCACACAGGAGCCCCAAGTTCAATCCCCAACACCTATGAACCCCCATGCACTGCCAGGTGTGGCTCCAAGACGAAAGAATCTTTCTCTTACCTTCCTTTCCCCAAAATCCTGTGTAAGGAACATACGGGTTCAACCCTCAACAAGGAATTTTTCTTAGATTTACAAATACATTAATTCTAAGACCAGCTCACCAAAAAAATGCACTAACCTGGAGCCTGCAAGCTGTCTTTCTCAAAAAACACTCTGGGGCCAGAGAGACAGCACAATCGGCGAGGAACTTGCCTTGCATGAGGCAGTTCGGATTCAATCCCCAGCACCCCAGATGGTGCCCTGAGCACCAGCAGCAGAGCCAGGACCAAATCCTGAGCATCGCCAGGTGTGCCCCTGCCCAAAAAATAACACTTTTGGGTGAATTCTCCGCTCCCCATATCACGACATGCAATGGGACTTTTTCTTTCCCTCCCTTTCTCTCCCTTTCTCCCACCCTCCTCCAACCTTCTCCCTGTATCTCTCTCATAAATCTATTTTGCTTGAAAAAAATACGTATTTCTTGATTCTTTTCTTATAAAAACTGATTCTTGTGATCATGCAGGCAAAATGGTTCTTTAAAAAGGTGCTCCTATATGGGGCTGGAGCAATAGCACAGCGGGTAGGCCTTGCGCGTGGCCAACTCGGGTTCAATTCCCAGCATCCCATATGGTCCCCCGAGCACCGCCTGGAGTAACTCCTGAGTGCAAAGCCAGGAGTAACCCCTGTGCATAGCCAGGTGTGATCCAAAAAGAAAAAAACAAAAAGGTGCTCCTATCTGCCAGTTTGTTGCTATTAAAATTCTACTTCTGTTTATTTCCCACATATGAAAGTGACTGTGCTGTATCTTTCCCTCTAGTAAGGAAATAATAGTAAAAGATAACAAAACCTGAGAACTATTTAGAGAACAGACCTCTCACCATGGACAGGCAGGGGGTGGTGGATGGGAGGGGACCCTGAGCCAATCACAGTGCTTCAAACAAAAGAACAACAACAAAACCAAATAATTGGCAAAAAAAAAAAAAGCCCTCTAGGGGCCAGAGTGAAGCGGTAGGACAGTAGGATGGTAGGAAGGTGGGTCTGTAGGACGTTTGCCTTGCAAGCAGCCGACCCAGGTTTGACCGTGAATTCCATATGGTCCCCTGAGCACCACCAGGAGTCATTTCCTGAGCATTTCCTGAGTGGAGAGCCAGGAATAACCCTGAACACTGGTGGGTGGGATTCAAAAACCAAAAAATAGTAATAATGAATTAAATGAAAAATGAAAAATAAAAGACTCTACCTCTGTGGGTCAGAGAGATAGAATAGTAGTTGAAGTGCTTGCCGTGCTTTAGCTGGTTCCAATGCCCGGCAGAGCATACTTTTCCCCAAGCAGTGCCAGGAGCGATCCCTGAACCTGGGTCAGAAGTAAACACTGAGCACTGCCAGCTACAGCCCCAAAACCTGAAATAAAACAAAAGCTTGGGCCAGAGCTAAAGTACAGTGGTAAGGAGCCTGCCTTACACGTAATGGATTGGGTTCAATGCCCAAAACCCAGTACTTCCCACATGCCTCCCAGAAATGATCCTGAGAGCAGAGCTAGGAAGAAGTCCAGAGAACCGGTAGGTGTGGCCTAAATAAATAAAACAAAAACTCCACGTCTACCAGTCATCCTGCCTTTGACTAGACCCCTGAAGCAGTAATGGAACCAGACCTTCAAGGTTAAATCGTGTGTAAAAGAATAGTAAGACTTCAATGTCTAATAGTGTGAAATGGACCGATTTAAAATTGATGCCTTCAGCTTGCTCTTCCAGCCCAGGTTCTCCCTTAAACATGCATCTTGCTTCCTTAGTCTGTTTCTTTGCTTGCTCATTTTCACTCGAGAAGCCTGTGTTTTCTCTCTCAAACCCATGGTTCTTTCTCTCTCCTCACATCTTTCTAAATAAGTTTCAATAAAAACTATCTTGCTTCACCAAAAAAATTAAATTGATACCTTCACAACACCAAATTTGTACAATTTTAGTATCTGTATCCAATGACATTTACACAAACATAATTCCCACAAAAATCCTAAGATTTAAGTCTTTTCCTAGCAACGTTAACCTAAAACATTATTGTTAATATTATGTCATGTTGATATCCTATTCTTAATGTCGTTATTTGGTTTTTCTTTCTCATACAGTTTTCCCTCAGCCACTAGTTTCCTGAGTCAGATTGTCTGCCCTTGAAACTGGAAGGAGTGGAAATAGGTGACAGAAATACACTAAATCAAGAAGGTAAGGATTCACAGGAGTAATGAAAAGTCTTTTCTAGGGGCAGTTTGAAGAAGACACTTTAAAAGGCTAATATATTTTGTAGATAAAAGCTCACTGACCACTGCTTTAGTTATGTTTTAAACCAATTCAGCAGCCCTTTACCCCCTTCTACTAGCAGTTATTTCAGTATAGGAATCTTAAGTGTATTTACCTAACAAATGATATATATTTCAAAAACACAGTATGGTCTAGAGAGCATACTAGCATAGATACAGGAAAAAATCAAAAATACCAAAGAGGCAGGAGAAATAGTAGGGCACTTGCTTTGAAAGCAAGCTGATCGAGGTTCAATCCCCAGCACCCCATATGGTCCCTCAAGCCCACCAGGAGTGATCCCAGATTGCAGACCCAGGAGTAAACCTGAGCACCACTGGGAGTGGCCCAAAAACAAAACGAAACAACAACAACAAAAACAAAACAGCTGTTAACTCTGGTAGAAAGCATGTTCACACTGCTCACGTAAGCTTACTAACAAATCTTACTACTGAGATCTGATTCAATCAATCTGAAGTACTTGGCTACATATATTCATTTTCTATTTTTTTGTAGAATCAAAGGTGAAATACAAGAAGTGGAATCCCTAAGAATGGCCTCCCTGAGCTCCAGCGTCTGGAATGAAACCACTACATCTGTTTATCAATACCTTGGCTTCCAAGTTCAAAAAATTTACCCTTTCCATGACAACTGGAACACTGCCTGCTTTGTCATTCTGCTTTTATTTATATTTACAGTGGTGTCTTTAGTGGTGCTGGCTTTCCTGTATGAAGTACTTGACTGCTGCTGCTGTGTAAAAAACAAAACTGTGAAAGACTTGAAAAATGAACCGAACCCTCTTAGAAGTATGATGAACAATATCAGAAAACGAGAAGTTGAAGTGGTCTAACACGACAGAAGACGAACAAAATATATTAAATTAAAGGATTCCAACTTCTGAGAAAAACCCTCTCCTGAGGTCTAGCACTGCTACAAAACTGATTCTCCCTTTAATGGTGAAAGATTTCCATTAGAAGAGAAAAAGAAGATAAATATGTCTTCTGTGTATATGTGTCCCTTTCATTAAATATACAGTAAAATTTGCAAGTGAGAGCAATTTTTATCAATCTACTTGATAATTTCCAAAAATTTTATTTCTAATATTGAATGAAAGATCCTCGGAATTCAATATTATGTGGCAATGGTAAAACAAAAAAACTAAGCCAATGCTAATGATGCTACACCTAAACAAATAAGGTAGGCTAAAAGAAAGAGTTTGGTCCTTCATGTGTCCTGGTAATATAAATGCCATGTAGAATAGTTAATCTAAATACAAAGTAAAATAACTCTACTTACACATCAAGGTACTATTTAAGAAAGGGCAGTATTTTCTAGCTTACTAAAAAATACTTTTTTAATGACAAGTATTTACATATGATGAGAAAGGGCACAAGTATACCAGTATAAAATGTTCGAGACTATGTGACCAGAGCAACGGTATAGATGGTAGGACACTTGCCTTGAAGGTGGCCAAACTGGGATCGATCCCCAGCATCTCCTATGGTCCCACAAGCCTGGACAGGAGTGATCCCTGAGCACAGAGCCAGGAGTAAGTCCTGAGCAGTGCTAGGTATGAATCCCCTGCCATCAAAACAATGATTCCAACAACGGTCTGGAGAGCTACTGTAGTATACTATAGTATACTACTATAGTAGAAAGGCATTTGCTTTGCAGGCAGCCAACCCAGGCTCAACCCCTGTTCAATAACGTTGGGTTGTCCTTGCTCCTCCCTCAGGGACCTTAGGTTTATCGAACTACTCCCACAGCAGAGCCCCTGAGGCATACCCAATCCCATCAAACACTGTAGCACTGCACTGTAGCACTGTCCTCCTGTTGTTCATCCATTTTGCTAAAGCGGGCACCAGTAACGCTGTTACTGTTTTGGGCATACTGAATGTGCTGGTAGCTTGTCAGGCTCTGCCGTGCTGGTGGATATTCTCGGTGGATATTCTTGGTAGCTTGCTGGGCTCGCCAAGGATGGAGGAATCGAACCCAGGTCGGTCATGTGCAAGGCAAATGCCCTCCCCGCTGTGCTATCGCTCCAGACCCATCAAACACTAATAATCCTATATTGCTTTTCTTTTTCCTTTATGTCACTTGCATGGTTTGGCAATGTCCTTTTTGTGTAGACACAGGAAGACAGCTGAAGCTATGTTTTTGTAACATGGGAGTTAACTGACTCCAAAATAATATTTACTCCTGGACATCCATATTTTTTTGACTTAAGCCTCAACTGCCCTTAGTTCCTAGCACTCCAAAAGCAGGGTCCTGATGAAGGGGATGGATGGACCCAGGGCAAGGTGTAAGCTACTCTGCCATTGAAAGGGGACAAGCTAAGCACCATAATTATAAGAAGAGCATGGTCATGGGACAAACTCTGTCATGACCCAAAAAGAAGTAACTGAATAAAGACCCTGCTGGGGTTAGGAAAGACTAACCTGGCCTGAGGACTGTGGTCTGGGATATACAGCGAGATGTTCCCAGGATGAGCCACTCTTTAAGCTTAATATATCTCTTACTGTGTTCGTACAAAATGAATAGAAATATTAGTATTCAATGTGATTGTTTAAATGGATTACCAGCTGAGGAAAGGATAAGGCAATACACACTGGATGGAATCATGTCCTTAAGCAGATCTTTTAGTAATCTGGAGTGCTGAACCCTGGAGTGCTGAACCCTCAGATGAGATTCTGTCCTTGAGTTAATCTCCTAGAACTTCCCCTGAAGGAGTGATTTTACCTGTTTGTCGTTATGACGATGTACAAGCCCACCTATATGCACCCCCACCTTTCATGCTGTAAGGAGAAAGGAAAGATATAAGGAAGTAGAGGACTTTGAGGTCTAAGAGGAGACTAGGATGATGGAACATGATGACTGGGACTACGACCAAACTACGACTACAATTGTGCTGTAAGAGGAGAGACTGACTACGTTGGGGAGGAGAGAGAAATAAACAGACTACCAACGAGCCTGGGGTCCTGTTTCTCCATTCCCCAGTCCTTCAAGAATCCCCAGAGCCCACGCTATTCTTTGAAACTCACAAACCCTAGCACCACACATGGTTCTGGAAGCTCCACCAGGAGTGATCCCTGAGCACAGAGCCAGGAGTAAAACCTACACATAGTCACATGTATCCCACCATGCCCAAAACAATATACCCCTCACAAAAGCCCATATCGCTGACTTACTACTTAGTAAGAAATACAAAGTCTAAGAAAGGCCAGACTATTTCAAACTAAAACTCACTAGTATCCCCACTAAGGGCTGGAGCAACAGCACAGCGGGCAGGGTGTTTGCCTTGCAAGCTGCCAACATGGCTGACCCGAGTTCGATTCTTCCACCCCTCTCGGAGAGCCAGGCAAGCTACCGAGAGTATCTCGTCCACACGGTAAAGCCTGGCAAGCTACCCGTGTTGTATTCAATATACCAAACACAGTAACAATTGTCACAATGGAGAAATTACTGGGCCCACTCGAGCAAATCGATGAACAATGGGAGGACAGTGACAGTGATCCCCACTAAATCTCACTTTCCTGCAACTTGCTCTTTCAGTTTGCTTCTCATATTTACGCCTTATTGGGGGCGGGGGGGTCACACACAGCAATACTCAGAGGTTACTCCTGGCTCTGCACTCAGAAATTACTTCTGGCGGTGCTTGAGAGACCATATGGAATGCCGGGGATTGAACCCGGGTCGACCGTATGCAAGGCAAACACCCTACCCGCTGTACTATTGCTCCTGCCCCATATTTATGTTTTTAAGGACTAAGACATCCAATGAAGAAAACATCCCAAAAATATCAAATGCCAGAACCCCTCAACATTTGTTAAAAAAAGGACTCGAACCTAGAGAGAGCTCAAAGGGCTAATAGGCAAGTTTTGCAAGCAGGCTCAGGGGCTGCTCCCAACTGTTTCAGGGTCACTCCTGGTGGGGACCATATGTGGTGGCAGAATTGAAACCTTGTGCAAAGCAAGAGCATTAATCCCTGTATTGTCTCTACAGCCCCAAGATTTATATTTGAATCACTAGCTGTTTTATAAAAAAAAGGTAAAGGTAAAGGTAAAGGCCCTCCCGTTGATCGTCGATTTGCTCGAGCGGGCCCAGTAACGTCTCCATTGGAGACTTTGTTGTTACTGTGTCTGGCATATCGACTACTCTCGGTAGCTTGCCGGGCTCTCCGAGAGGGGCGGAAGAATCGAACTCGGGTCGGCCATGTTGGCCGCGTGTAAGGCGAACGCCCTACCGCTGTGCTATCGTAGCCGCTGTGCACAGCAGGTAGGGCGTTCGCCTTACACGCGGCCAACATGGCCGACCCGAGTTCGATTCCTCCGCCCCTCTCGGAGAGCCCGGCAAGCTACCGAGAGTAGTCGATATGCCAGACACAGTAACAACAAAGTCTCCAATGGAGACGTTACTGGGCCCGCTCGAGCAAATCGACGATCAACGGGAGGGCCTTTACCTCGAGCAAATAAAAAAAATAAGTAAATAAATACTAAGCAGAGACACACCAACCAAGGAGGCATGGGAAGCAATGGCTGCAGCAATCTTGTGGTAATGACCAGATTAAGGCGGCAATGCCCTGTCGTGTCCACAGTCAGTCTCAGCCCTGCTCTCACCGAGCACATGGCAACACTGCACAGTCCTGTGCCTAGGCCTGGCCAAGGAGTTCTGAGAAGAAGCAATGTGTGTCACTTCCAACCCAGAGCTTCAAACTGCCCAGGCAAGAGCTTCCAAAGAAACCAGCCACACCTGAAACATCAGCTGAGTCCCTGTCACATGAGCCCTTGAGTAACCATGACCCGAGACACCGTCAACCCATGATACACACGTGGTGAAAGAGAGAAACCTTTTTTGTTTTTAAGTCATTGAGATCTGGGTGCTATTAGCACAATTTAGATTATGCTTCTTACTATTCAAGGATAACCCCGGCCAAACCAAAGAGAAGCAAAGCCTACAGAAGCTCTTCCTGTTGTTGAATGATCTACTGTTTGTGATGAAATCCCCTACACATTACTGTAGCCTAAACCAGCACGCGCCCATCTTTTACACCTGCAGAACAGCACGGGTCTAGGGACCAGCAGTTACCGCCACTGCGGCAGATCAATGGTTTTCAACCTTTCGACACCATAACCAGAGATTAAAAAACCTAGGCAGAGATAGTACAACGGGCAAGATATATGACTTGCACTCAGCTGACTGGGTTCCATCCCTGGCACCATATGTGGTTCCTCCAAATCTCACCAGGAGTATCGTGATCCCTGAGTGCAGAGACAGAAGTAAACCCTGACCATACCCGGCCGTGGCCCAAAAACCAAAAAGAAAAAAGAAAGAGGGGCCAAAGCGATAGCATAGCAGGTAGGGCATTTATCTGCCTTGCATGCAGCAGAACTGGGCTCTTCCCCTGCACCCCATATGGTTTCCCGAGCACTGCTATCAGCAATTTCTGAGCAGAGCCAGGAGTAAGTCCTCAGCATTGCCAGGTGTTGTAAGATAACACTGGTTTGTCCTTTCTCCCTTGCTGCAGGGAGCTTAGGCTTACTGAGTTATACCTACCACAGTGCTCCCAAGGCACTCCCATTCCTCTGGATTTATCCTTAACCTCTCCTTTGTGCTCTACTTCCCCTGTTTGTTAATTACTTATATCCCCAAATCAGACCCTGTGACTCGTAAAGTCAGATTTCTAAGTGCACATCCAGGACTGAACATCATCAATGTGGTCCAAAAAAACAAGAACAAAATATTCAAAAAATGTGAATCTAAATAAAAAAAACAATCATGGTCACTGACTGAATATTAAAATGGCAATTCTCTCCAAACTGATTCTTAGATTCAATGCTATCAAAACCCTGGCTGGCTCCTTACAGATATCAACTAAGTGAACCTGATCCAGTAAAAATATTTTAATTTTTGAAAATAGAATTTATTCTCCCAGTTTCAAAACTATAAAGCTACAGCAATCAAGAGTGCATTTTGAGCATGAGGATAGACAAGAGAGTCAATAGAACTATTATTCCAAAAATAATTTATTTCACTTATGACCTAACAATACTCAACACCACTATTAACCCAACTCAGTAGAGAAAGTACCAAATTTTCTCTCCCCCGGCCAGAAGGCAAAACAGCCATTCGAGCCCTTTGAGCTAATACTCAAAGCCCCACAAAAAATTGTATTTTCAACCTATAACAAAAGGAAAACTGAATAACCACACACAAACGGATTCATTTTAGGGGCTGGAGAGACAGAGCAGGAAAGGTATTTGCCTTGGTCCCCCCGGAGTAATCCCTGAGCATAGATTAAGAATTACTGAGCACAGTTGAGTGTGGGGTCCCCCAAAACAAAACAAAAAGATTAATTCAGACCTTATACAGTTACAAAAAGCATCCACTGACATCATCACAGAACCAAAGCTATAAACCAAAGCTATAAACCTGGTTTGGTTTTTTCGGGGCTTTTGTTTGTTTTTGCAGCAAGAGATCAAACCAAGGCTTCATTGATGTGAAACTTCTAAAACTTTTCATTGTTGTTATTTTGGCTCTGGGCCACACTGGGCAGTGCTCAGAGCTCAAAGGCTATTTCTGGGTCAGGAGGGACCCCTGGAGGTGCTCCGGGGACTATGTGGTACCAAGCCTCTAACCAAGGTTGCAGCCACCACAACCGTATGCAAGACAAGTACCTGGGGGCTGGAGTTATAGCACAGCAAGGAGGGCGCTTGCCTTGCATGTAGCCGACTCGGGTAGATTCCCAGCATCCCATATGGTACCTCCTGAGCACCATCAGGAGTAATTCCTGAGCACAAAGCCAGGAGTAGTAACCCCTGAGCATCGCCAGGTATGACCCAAAAGCAAAAAAAAAAAAAAAAAAAGACAAGTACCTGAATTCCTATACTCTCTCTCCAGCAAATTTTCATGACCATTAAGTATAAGGATTTTTTAAGGTATTTTACTGAGAGTACAAGTGACATTAAATCAAAGAATTGCATACAGAATATAAAGAACTCTTACAAATCAAAACAAACAAACAAAAGGCTCTCCAGTCTCTCATGGGGTCAGGAAAGGTGATCTCCCCCAATCTCCCTGTTCTTCCGTAGCCTGGCAGTCACATCCATGAACTGTCTCTGGAGCCATATAAACTCATTAATGGACATGATCCAGAGACTCACAACTATATCTCAGAAGACAGCAAGAAGCTGCAGAGATGCCTCTGAAGCCTGTGCCAGGCTGAGTCTAACTGGAAAACACAAAAATCCTTACACACTTTCTTCTCAGGAAACTTTTTTGATCATTTTTAGCAGATTATTCTTAACAAGCAATACAAAATAAATTATTTAGGGCCTGCTATTGGGACAAACTTGGGTGGTGGTTGGGAAAATTCAAAATAAAGTAGTGGAAAGATGTAATGGTGGTGGGAATGGTATTGAATATTGAATGTAACAAATTATTATTAACTTATAAAAATTAATTTAAATTTTAAAAAAATAAGCAAACTAAAGAAGAGGCTGAATTTCTAGGTAAATTTTACCCATAAAATCTATGGGAAAGGGGGCTGAAGTGATACCACAATGGCTAGGGCATTTGACTTGCACGCTGCCAACCTGGGTTTAATCCCCGACATCTCCTATGGTTCCTGGAGCACCACCAGGAGTAATTCCAGAGTGCAGGGAGTAACCCCTGAGCATTGCCTGATGTGACCCCCCCCAACCCCCAAAAAATCCCAAAAAATATCTATGGGAAAGTTAGGGCTTAAAATTTATGATGGAGATTGGGGGTAAAGGGAGAGAATTGGTCCCCTAGGAGATGATTAGACTCTTAGAAATCGAATCATCCTGAAATTAGAGACCAGAGGCTAAAGGGTGGAGCGTGCTGGACAGAGAGTCATTTAAAAATGTATGTCTTTGTTCTAGGTAAATGGGAAGAGCAAAAAGTAATTCTCATGAAGCTGCTTCTTATTATTAGCCTTTAACTCAAAAGAACCCTTTTGGGGCGGGAGTGGGGAGCTCAGTGCCTGAGCATCTGCACTGCAAGGCCCAGGGTTCAGTCCCCCTTACCATCATGCACTGAGGCCAATCCCTTGGGTCCCACGGTTTGTGCCTGGCCATTCTAGACTCTGTGATTCAGAACCACAAGCAATTCTGGCCACATGTATAGCCAAGCGTATGAGAGCAGCACAGCTGAGATGTGTGGCCCCCAAGAGCAATGCCAGATGTGTGCAAGCACCCCTCCTGAGGGAGTTCAGGGACCAGAGAGAGTACAGCGGGTAAGGTGTTCGCCTTGCACACAGCTGACCTGTGTTGGATCCCTGGTACCCAATATGGTCCCCCAAGCTTGCCAGAAGTAATTCAGAAAACTAAAAATAAGTAGAAACAAAGTGGTGACCAAAATAAAGAGAAAGACCATGGAACGGGAAAAAAAAAAATTTACCCAATACCCATCAGATAAGGGTTAATATCCGGGATATATAAGACACTGACTAATTTTGTTTCTGAAAGGAGTGGGTCAGCCAAATACATCTGGGAACCTCAGACTGGAGAAACTGTACAAGGCATAGATGCTTGCCTTACACATAGCCAGCCCAGGTTCAGTCCCTGGAATCACATATGGGCCCAAGCACTGGCAGGACCAGGAGAGATTCCTGAGCCCAGAGACAGAAGGAAGCCCTGGGTGTAACCAAAAAAGGCTGTTGTTTTTTAATTTGGGCACCGAAACTAGAGCAACAGTACATAGGGTAGGGCTGTTGCCTTGCATACAGCCAACCTGAGTTCAATCCTAAGTATTACATAGGGTCCCTAAGAGTGATCACTAAGCCCAGAGCCAGGAGGAAGCAATGAACACAGCCAGCTGTGGCCAAAAATAAATAAATAAATAAATAAAAATTTAAAAAAAAAAAACAGATTGGAAACCTCTTTGCTTAACATAAACCAATATGAATATAAAACCGAAAAATGTGCATGGCTAAATGGTTTTCTGAAAAATAGAAACGAAACCATTAAGTCAGTTTTACTAACCAGAATTTTGCTTAGAGCCTGATGAACCTCCATGTTCTAGTTTTGCTTTCTTCTTCTTTGATGATGATGATGACGATGATGAGCTAGCAGTTACTGATCTTTTTTCAACAACAGGAGTGGAAAGAGCTCGTTTTTTGAATAGCTCCCGTTCTCTCAGCAGGCTCGGATCCATAATGCTGGAAAAAAAAAATTAAATCTCTTTTTAAAAATAGGGTTCAAGTTACTCAAACCTATATTCGAAATCCACAAATTTCAGTTACTTCCTACAAACTTTAAATTAGTTTTCTGCTGCATGTATTTATTCACTTATTCACAGGGCAGAGGTGAATGACAACAGTCACAAGGAGGAGGGATTAATTTAGTATAATGTATCAATTGCTATGCTGGGGACTAGTCAAGAGAAATCAACTTATTCTCTACAGTTCCAGACCTAAGTAGTTCCAGGTCAAGTAGGCCTAAATGAGGGCCAACAGTTAAATATGCCCAGATTTGTCACTGTATTACTCCAAGGTATATACAGCATAATGATATGCAGTATTTATAAAGTGATATAATTACACTGGGCTGGAGCGATAGCACAGCGGGTAGGGTGTTTGCCTTGCACACAGCCAACCTTCGACAAACCGAGTTCGATTCCTGTGCCCCTCTCGGAGAGCCGGGCAAGCTACCGAGAGAGTTATCTCGCCCGCATGGCAAAGCCTGGCAAGCTACCCGTGACGTATTCGATATGCCAAACACAGTAACAACAAGTCTCATGATGGAGACGTTACGGGACCCGCTGGAGCAAAAATCGAAGAATGAGAGGACAGTGATACAGTGATACATGATTTGCTATGGTCAGCCTATTACATACCCCAAATGTATGTATCTACTAACTGTAAGGCTGAACATTTTGACCACCCTCCCCGGTATCCCCCTCTTCTGATAATTATCAATCTATCCTCTGTTATCTATGAATTTGACTTAGTTTCGTTCTAATTGTAGTTAAGGAAATTCCACAGTTTTCCACAGTGACTGTACAAATTTAAATTCCCATTAAGAGTTCATGAGGATTTTTTGTTTGCAAAGGGGTAGGGAGCTTGTGGTTATTGCCTGGTTGTGCCTCAGGACCTACTCCTGGGTCTGCGCTCAGCAATCACTCCTGATGTGGCTTGGGGAAATCATACGCAGCACAGGGATCGAATTCGGGTCTGCCCCATGCAAAGCAAGTACCCAACCTGCTATACGATCTCTCCAGTCCAAATACTTCTTTTCATTCACATCCCTGCTAGCACCCCTTATGTCTCATCTTTAGGAGGTTAGCCATTCCGGCACGTGTCAGGTGATGTCTCACTGTGATCTCACTTGCAATTCCCTGTTGATTCGTGACGTCGGTTACCTTTTCGGATACCTGCTGGCCAACTCTTTCTGGGAAAAATATCTTCAGTTCCTCTGCCCATTTTTCAGTTGGACTGCTACTTTGCTCCTGACTTTAATGTATTGTTATTCTGAATATTAACCCACTGTGAGATGATCTGCAAATATTTTCTCCCAGTTTTTGCGCAGTTGTGTATTTCCTCTGCTCTACCCTTGCTTCTGGGGACAAGCCCCAAAACAAAGTTGCCTACAACCAATATCATGGAGCTCATTACACCGATCTGTTGTTCTACAGGCATTATGGTTTCATGTATTAGTTCAAGTCATTATTTCCATTTGAGTTGACTTCTGTGTGTGGAGTGAGATAAGGGTCCGTTTTTCAATACATCTTTTACTGAAGAGACGATCATTTCCCCATTGAATGTTCTCAGTTCCTCTGTTATAAATTGAGGATGCACAGATTTATCTGAGTTTTCTACTCTTCCACTGATCTGCACTGTTAGCTTTTTATGTCAGTAGCAGATCACAGGTTTCTCTGGGGAAAAAATGTGTATGACACTGTTTGAAACAGAAAGTCTGATACCTGCAGCTTTGTTCTCTCTCAAGACTACTTTGGTAATTCAGGGCGTTTTGTGGTTAAGTCACATGAGGGAAACCAGTTCCCACACAGGAATTGCTCTTCTGGTTCTTTTTCCTTGAGAAAAAGGTGAAAAACTTAGGACTCTGTGCTGTCTCTGAATCACTGGCATCTCAGGGGAGCCCTGGAGATCTGGAGATCTCTGGCTTCATTGCCACCGATTCAGCTGCTGAGGTCCCGAACCAAGTATGTATTCTCCAGAGTCATCAGTTTCTCACTTCAGGCACAGTAGGGTATGCTGCCCAAAGATCCTTTCTCACTCTGGGCAGATTAGAGAGTCTGCTGCCTAAACATCAGCAGGAAGCCAACCTAAGGCAGAGCCAGGAAGTTCCCCAGCACAGGGCACTCACCTTACACTAATGACTGGCAGCTAGCACACAATGCTATGTTCAGTGTCATGAGGTTGTTTCACAAGTTTAAATGGGTTGTGACTCAGCAATAAAGCACTTGTCTTGCACGTGTGAGGCCGAGTGTAAAGCCCTGGCACCACACACACACACAATTAAATTATTTTCTTCCACCGGATAGTAGAAACTACTGGGTGTTGAATTTTCTAGATTACAGTATTAATGGTTCTGGTTCAGTGTTTTCATATTAACACTATTTGAACTTGAGCAATACCATAAGTTTTTTTAATTAATACATAATCATAGAGGTTCCCGAGCAAATCGACGAACAACGGGATGACAGTGCTACACTTTAATAAAGTGGAATTAGAAACAAAGAGCAAAGTGCATAACCAAGAAATAATTCATACTTCTCTGTTTTAAAGAGAAGTGATTGGTTCAAAGGGTTAGAGTCCATGCCTTGTGAGCTGTCTGCACTATAGCATTGTTCTCCCATTGTTCATCGATTTGCTTGAGTGGGCACCAGTAATGTCTTCATTGTGAGATTTGTTGTTACTGTTTTTGGCATATTGAATACGCCACAGAGAGCTTGCCAAGCTCTCCGAAAGGAATGGAGGAATCGAACCCGGGTCGGCCACATACAAGGCAAACACCCTACCTGCTGTGCTATCGCCAGCCTTGTGAGCTAGGGACCCCAAATTCAATTCCTGACACCACATAGCATGCCAGCATCTCCAACATGCCCGTCTGGTCAGCAGCAGCACTGGGGACAACAAGCACACACAAGTATCACCGAGTGCCACCTCAACTCCAAGCAACCCTCCTCGTGCCCAAAAAAAAAAAAAAAACAGCCACTGGAATTCTAATATAGATTATAATGAATCTAGATTTTGCAGAGTAAACCTGTAAGAACATTGGAGTAATATTAATTCTTCCAATCCCTAGCAACAAAATCTTCCTATTTGTATTGTTTTCCATTTCTTTCATCAATGTCTTAGTTTTCAGTGTAGAAACCATTACTTTCCTTGATTAAATCTGTTCCTAACTATTTTATTCTTGATTCAATTGTAAGTAGGGTTTTTTTCTTATTTTCTCCTTAAAAAACTTAGTATATACAGAAGAAATTATAGATGAGAAGGGTTAGGAAATGGCTCAGTGGCTAAAGCACTGCATGGTTGTGAATCCACACCCCCAAAGCTACTCACATCAATAAGCACAATCCTGGCATTTCTGTGGTCTGAGATCCCCAATGCCTCAAATAAGTTCTGGCTGCACCAGGGCCAGGTCTGGCAATAAGATGTGTTTTCGGGGTCAGTGATAGTACGTTTGCCCTGCACAAGGCCAACCCAGGTTTGATCCCCAGCATCCCAGACCGTAGGTTCCCCACACCTGCCAGGAGTGATCTCTGACACAAAACCAGGAATAAGCCCTGAGCACCGCTGGGTTTGACCCAAAAAAACAAAAAAACAAAAACAAAAAAAGATGTATGAACACCACAGCCAAGAGTAGTGAATACGATAGTGTCTGTTGAATATGATAGTGTGTTGATAACATGGACATACTGAATTAAATACTAAAATTAACACTTCTAGGGCAGGATAATAGCACAACAGGTAAGATGTTTGCCGTGCTTTTGAGCAACCCGGGCTCAATTTCTAGGACCCCATATGGGCACTCCCAGGTCACTCTCAGGAGTCACTCCTTCTAGTCCATGGATGAACTTGCAGTGCCAGGGGTCAAACCCAGGACTCCTGCATACAAAGCATGCCCACTGAGTTCCCTCTCCAGTCCTATCTGTTTACTGAACAGTGCTGCTCTAAAAACTCCATCAAGATCAATAAGCAACTTCCAAGGAAGACTGGTCAAGTCTGAGAACTCCAAAGCCTTCGTGGACTGGGGGGGCAGGAGAATTATCCTTTCTGCCTGAAGGTACAGAAGCCTGAAGTCACACCAACAGCCTGACTTAGAAACAGCCCCGCTCTACAACAGAACCTCATCAAACTACCAAGCTGCCAAACTGTCCCAGATCTATAGTTCCTGGGCACCTCAAAATTTCATCATACTCTCAGTCCAGTAGGAATCACAGCAAAGCTGACTAGAAAGTTCCACAGAAGACCTGAGTACCAAAGTCATCGGTCTGCAGTGCTGGCTAAACAACTGCTGAGAGCCGGCAGCCCCCATAAAAAGTAGGATCACAGCAAAGCTGACTGGAAAGTTTCACAAAAGACCTGAGTACCAAAACCCATCAGTTTGCAGTGCAGGCTAAACACTGAGAGTCGGCAGCCCCCTAAAAAGTACCAAGGGGCGGGAGAGAGTACAGTCAGTAGGACTTGCACACGCTTTGCACTAGGCAAACGGTTTGATCTTCAGCATCGCATAAGGTCCCCTGAGTAATGCCAGGAATGATTCCTGAGTACAATGCCAGGTGTTAGCTCTGAGCACCGCCAGGTATGCCCAAAAACCAAAAAAGAAAAATACAAGAAAATAAATTGGTTTTGAAAAAGATATATATGGGGGTAAAGGTAAAGGCCCTCCCGTTGATCATCGATTTGCTCGAGCGGGCCCAGTAACGTCTCCATTGCAGACTTTGTTGTTACTGTGTCTGGCATATCGAATACTCTCGGTAGCTTGCCGGGCTCTCCGAGAGGGGCGGAGGAATCGAACTCGGGTCGGCCATGTTGGCCGCGTGCAAGGCAAACGCCCTACCTGCTGTGTATGGGGGTATGGTGCCGCCAGCAGGTCAATTTGTACCTGTGAGGCGAGTGCATCAGCAGCCTGATAGCGCCTTCAGACTTCCAGATACCCTAAAATTGCTGCTGTGACTTTGGCCAGACCCCAAAAACTTGGGCAAAGTTTACCAAGAAAGTAAGTGGCCAAAAGTTAGGTATGTGGGAGACACACCCACAAACCACCTCGGGCTCAGCTATATAATTGGAGGTGTGGCCTCTCTGGTTCCTGATCAAAATGCTTAACGGCCATGATCCCAGAGAATCAGAAACAAATCTCAAAACCCAACGGCTTTTGGAAGAAATGCGTTCGGTCCCTGCAGTATGTTACCGGTGCCAGGCCACCCCAGGTGGGAATAGGTTTCGTGCCTTGCCTGTTCCCCCTGGCGGCTCGGTGACCTGTATCCTCCAGCGGCCACTGGACAATCAGGTTTCGGCCCACAGTGATGAGACAGGAGGGGCCTCACGGGATGGGGGCGGAGCTGGCTCTTTCCTCCCCACCCCAACCAGACCATGAGTCGCTGTCCACAAACAGCCTCTCTGGCTCCTGATCAAGCTGCTTAATGGCCATGATCCCAGAGACTCAAAACAAATCTCGAAACCCAGCGGCTTTTGGCAGAAATGTGTCCGGACCCCGCAGTAGGTCACTGTCATTGGGCCATCCCAGGGGGGAAAGGGTGCTGTCCCTCCGCCTGCTCCCCCTTGGGGGCTGGAAGGCCACCATATGCCATAGGCGACTGGACAGTCAAGTTTGGGCCCGCAGTGACGAGACACACGGGGTCTCATGGGATGGGGGTGGAGCCGGCCCTTTCCTCCCTATCCCAATGAGACACCGAGTCGCACCCACAAACAGCCTCTCTGGCTCATGATCAAGCCGTTTAATGGCCATGATCCCAGAGACTCAAACAAATCTCAAAACCGAGCGGCTTTTGGCAGAAGTGCGTCCGGTCCCTGCAGTAGGTTACCAGCGCTGGGCCAACCCTGGTGGGAATAGGTTTTGTGCCTTGGCCTGTTCCCCCTGGTGGCCCAGTGGCCATCATCCTCCAGAGGCCACTGGACAGTCAGGTTTGGGCCTGCAGTGATGAGACACGCAGGGCCTCATGGGCTGGGGCCGACCCTTTCCTCCCCATCCCAATGAGACCCCAAGTCACTGCCCACTAACGGCCTTTCTGGCTCCTGATCAAGCTGCTTAACGGCCATGATCCCAGAGACTCAGAAACAAATCTCGGAACCCAGCAGGTTTTGTCAGAAATCCCTCCAGATTTAAGTGTTAAAATTTCAGAATTTCATAACCGCATGACCACTACTGCAGCCATGTGACATCATATGTTATTCATAACCAGCAATAGAACACAGATTGTCTACTGCTGCCTTTTCAGCATATCTGAGTGTTGGGGTAAAATCCCAAATAATAATGGTGGCTCTGGCGTCAAAATACTGAATGTGATCAAAGCAGAGAGAGAGTAATGTGGAAATCATCTGCCCCACAGGTAGGGGGAGGGTGTGCAACGGGGGTATCCTGGGGATTTGGTTGGTGGAGAATGGGCCCTGGTGAAGGTACGGGTGTTTCATTGCATGATCGAGACTTAAACCCGAAAGTTTTGTAACTGGTCTCACAGTGATCCAATAAATAAAATCATAAAAAGTGAAAAAGAAATATATATAAACATAAATATATTTTTAAAAAAACACGTTATATCGGGATCTAGAAGCCAGCAGCCAGTGTTGGCGGCGGGGTACAAGTCACGAGGACCTGAAAAGAACAAAGCCATCTGATGGGGGGCTGAAAAAATGACGTGTGAACGGAAACGTCCAGGTCCTCTGTTTATCTCCAGCTTGTAAACGTGCGGCCCGCAGTGGACTCGCACCTTGTAAGGGCGGGTCCTGAAGCCGGGCTCCCGACCGCGCTTCCACAGCTCCAATCAAGTCTGGGCTCACAAAGACCTCGACCACGTCCTCACAGCTCGTCCCAAGCTCTGACCCCGGTGTCTATTTTCATCACTGGAATCTGCTGGGAGGCTCCTGGTGACCGCCACGCACGGCTCCAGGTCCCCGGGCCGGGCTGCACGCGTGCATCTTGGCGCCCAAGCCGGGGGCACCTGCTCCCCGCGGCCACCAAAGCCCGCGTGGAGCTTCACGTCTGTCCCCCCAGCACGGGGCCGAGCTTCACAGGTGTCGCCCCCCTGCCCCCCAGCACGGGGCTGAGCTTCCGGGTCGGGCAGGACCGGGCAGTCCAGGGCCACAGCGCCAGCGCCGCTTTCGGGGGGGGGGGGGGGGGGGGGGGGGGCGCGCGACCTCCCGGCCTCGGGCACGGGCACTGGGGCAGGCGGGGGTCTCGTCCAGACGCCCGGGCCGCCCGCCCGGGCCGCCCACCACGGCCGCCCCCCGCCCCGCCCCCACGCTCACCGTCCCCTCAGCTGCGCGCCTGCAGGCGGCCCCGAGACCCCCTGGGGCCGGGCTGACCGGGCCGGGAGACCCCGAGGGCCGGGCTGACCGGGGGGTCCCGCACTCACGCCACCTGGAGACCCTGAGGGCCGAGCTGAGGGGGGTCCCGGACTCACGCGGCCTGGAGACCCTGAGGGTCGGGCTGACGGGGGTCCCGGACTCACGCGGCCTGGAGACCCCGAGGCCGGGCTGAGGGGGGTCCCGGACTCACGCGGCCTGGAGACCCTGAGGGTCGGGCTGACGGGGGTCCCGGACTCACGCGGCTTGGAGACCCTGAGGGTCGGGCTGACGGGGGTCCCGGACTCACGCGGCTTGGAGACCCTGAGGGTCGGGCTGACGGGGGTCCCGGACTCACGCGGCTTGGAGACCCCGAGGCCGGGCTGAGGGGGGTCCCGGACTCACGCGGCCCGGACACTCTGAGGCGCCAGGCTGACCCGCGGCCCCGCCTCAGCCCCGAGGGGCTCGCGCGCCCCCGGCCGAGAACCGCCGCCCCGACCCCCCGCGGCCCCGGAGGCGGCGGGGATGTGGGGGGGTCGCCGCAGGCGGACGCAGCGCCTACCTGAGCCGAGGCCGCCGTCGCCGCCTTCCGGAGCGCCCGCCCGCCGCCGGCTCGGCTCTCGGCGCGGACGGCGGCCACCGGGCCCGGGGAAGCCGCCGCCGCCGCCGCCGCCACTTCCGGACCAGGACGCGGCGCTCGCTCCCAGCAGCCCCCGCGGCGCCTCGGCCGCCCGCAGCGCGCCTGCGCCGTCACGTGGCCCGCCGGGCGGGGGGGGCGGGGGCGGGGCCTCTGTCGGCTGGGGCGTCCCGTTTCTATGACAACCGGAAGGGCCGGCCGCGGATGCGGAGGCGGGCGGCGATCCCCTAGGAGCAGCGCCGAGAAATCTGTCCTTTGCAGACTTGGCGAGCCCGTAGGTGCTCCTGCGTTGTGCTTCAGGACATTTAATCCAAAGGCCGACGAAGTTTTTTCTTTTTTCTCTTTTTTTTTTTCCACAACGCGATTTTTCAACAAGTAGTATAGGTCGATCGTGACTTGACAACCAATGCCAGTCGCCAGTGGCTAAACCTCAGAGAGCATCGCTCCAGCTCGCTATAGCGAGAGGGGAAATTAGGGCCGCAGGAAGCTAAATGGGCTGCTCAAAACCAGCTACCAAAGGCAGCCCTGATGTGAAACCCGGTTTGGGTATTCCAAATAAATTGCTTGCTTGCTTGCTTTTCTTTTTCTTTCTTTCTCTTTCTTTCTTTCTTTCTTTCTTTATTTCTTTCTTTCTTTCTTCCTCTCTTTTTAATAGCTCTTTCAACCACACCTGTGAACTCTCTTGGAAAGGATTTCAGATGCAGAAGCATCTAGAAATAAAGCAAGGTGGGGCTGGAGCAATAGCACAGCGGGCAGGGCGTTTGCCTTGCATGCGGCTGACCCGGGTTCGATTCCCAGCATCCCATATTGTCCCCCAGTACCGCCAAGAGTAATTCCTCAGTGCAGAGCCAGGAATAGCCCCTGTGGTGTGACCCAAAAAGAAAAAAAAATAGAAATAAAGCAAGGGAAAAGATCACCAACTTTGCCTAAGTACTGCAATATACTGAAGCAAGTCAGATTCCCTGCAATTTATCTTTTCTGTAAAACAACAATGCAGCCAGAATTCAACCTATAACTGCCGTCTAACCGCTTTGTACTGGCTATTCCTCACATTATAACCAATGTCTTGGTTTTCTCATCTGAGAAATGGGAATAGCTATACTACCACTGCCACAAAGGGCTGCTTGCAAGAGACTACTGTGAAGATTGAATGATTGAAAAGATTGATACACTAAACTTATTTGATACAGAAATAACCTGAAAAGATCATTGATTTGGTGACTGTTGGGGAGCCACACCCAGCAGTGCTCAGCTTCTAACCCCTGGTTTTGTGGCCAGAAATAACCCCTGGCCACTCAGGAATGCTCAGGGAACCATAACTGGTGCCAATGATCAACCAGGGTTGACCAAAAGGGCAGCATGCAAGGCAAGTCACTATTTCTCCAGTCCTTTTTTTATAATAAGTTGTCTTTTGTTTAATAAACTTCATTCTAGAGGACTTTGTAATAAACCCATTGTGGTTCACTTAACAACCTCAGGAATGTAACTTCATTAGATTAACAGTTAAGGCCCAGAATTTTAACAAACTGGTTAAAAAAAAAAAAAAGAAAAAAGATAACAAAAAAATACCTATGAGGTGGGACCAGGATATGACCGAAATGAGGTAGCACTGAATTTCATTTGTGGCACCTAATGGCCCCCAGGTATACCCACCAGTATAATGCTCTCCTGAAAAATGCTGACAGTGATCCCTATTTTAAAAATAAAAACCTCAATATGTACCGAGGCTTCAGTAGCAAGGATGCTTCTAGTCGTCAGCCCCTCCTCCCAAAGACCTTTCCAGCCCTGGCTCCAGAGTAACCATGGCGATGCTCAAAAATGTGGGTATGGAGCCAGAGCCTGGAGTACAGAGGATAGAGGCACTTGCCTTGCACGTGCCCGACTTGGGTTTGATGTGTGACATCCCATATGGTCCCCCGAGCACCGTGAGGAGTAATTCCTGAGTGCAGCGCTAGGAGTCAACCCTGAGCATTGCCGAATGTGACCCAAAAGCTTAAAAAAAAATGCAGATATGTTGGAGAAGATGTAGCAGGGCTCGGTGGAGTGAGCTACCCAGTCTCTGGAGAAATACAAAATAGAGAAGATCATTGCATTCCACAATAGAAAAGAGTATGACAAGGGTCAGAGTGATAGTACAGTGGGTAGGACGTTTGCCTTGCAAGCGGGGACCCAGATTTCAATCCCTGGCACCCCATATGATTCCCCAAGCCCTCCCGGACTGATCTCTGAGCGCAGAACCAGGAGTAAGCTATGAGCACTGCCGGTGTGACCCCCCTCCCAAAATAGGAGTTTGACAAGAAGTACAATGTGAGTTCACAAAATACATGAGTGCTGCAATGCATGCTTTTGGTGGCCCAGTGGCCTCCTGCCCTCCCTGGGCCTCTCCAGCAGAAAGACCGAGAGACGGGAGCCACGGCATGATGGGGAAAGTGGTCCGTGTAATGCAGAGCTGCTAGCATACTTATAGAATGCTTATAGAAGGGGGGTTGAGGTAAGGACATAGGTATGATTGATTATTTACAGAGATAAAACATTTAGCAGAGGTAATTCTCTTGGGGAGATTAACTCAAGGAGACACTCTGTCTCCCAGGGACATCTGCATTGCTTTTGTCTTTCCTTCTAGTTGTATATATTAAACAATTAAGTTTACTTCTCATCAATACCTGCAGTTTTTTTGACAAACATAGTAAAAGGCAAAGACCCCAAAACTTAGTTCTCTGGACTCTGAGAGAAAGCAGGCTTTTACCATAAATCCCAGACTATGTCTCCTAAAAAGAAGACCACACCCTCTACAAGATCATTGTGGGTGATTTTAATGCCAAGATAGGACCGAGAAGATCAGCCGAAAAACTCTACATCGGGACGCATGGCCTAGAATGGAACGAACAGGGTGAGAGACTGTCTGAGTTCACCATATCACCCAAGACCATCCATGGTAACTCACAGTTCCAGAAGGCCGAATCTAAACGTTGGACATGGGAGTCTCCCGGTGGACGGTTCACAACAAAATAGACCACATCATATTCAATCGACGGTTTTGCCTGACTGATGTCGCTGTTGTCCCAAAATTCCAAACAGGATCATACCACTGTCTCCTTCATGAAAAATTCTACTTCACAGAGCGGGAAGAAAGGGCTGCAAAGTTTAAGAAGAGAACTCTCAGAACGACCACCAACTGGGAGCTCTTTGGCACTATTGCGACAACATGGGAAGATGCCATTGTTGACAACATTGACGAGGAATACGATCAACTGGTTCAGCACCTCCATGATTGTGTGAGGAACGCCAAGAGAGATAGCCACAAAAAAAAAGCCTGTCTTCGAAATCTCTTGAGCTTATTCGCCAACGTGGTTTGGCGCATGCCTCAGGCAACTGCAAGCTAACGTCTGAGCTTGCAAAGCAGTGCAGAGATGCGATCAAGGAAGACGTCAAAGAGAGAAGAGCAGAAGTGCTGGTAGATGTGGCAGAAGCCAGGAAAAGCATTTGTAACGCCCACCTGTCCTTTGCCAACTACAAGACCAAGATAACTGCCCCCCCCCCCGACATCCTGATGGATCTTCCAGAAGGGCAATGGAGAACATTATCCATGACTTGTACTCAGATGTCTTCGATAGCCACGTCCACCTGCCCATATATCAAATTCCTCAGGATGGATATGTTGTTCCCAATGTTCTCCCTTCTGAAATCCGACACGCCATCTCGTCAGTAAAGAAAGGAACAGCAGCCGGCCCAGACAAAGTCAGACCTGAACACCTGAAGAACCTGCCGTCAGTACTCATCAATACACTGGCTCAGCTCTTCACACGCTACCTGTCTGAATGCAAGGTTCCGTCCCAATGGAAAACCAGCAGGACTGTACTACTGTACAAGAAGGGAGACATCCACGACATTGACAACTATCGCCCGATCTGCCTATTGTCTGTCATCTACAAGCTGTTCACTTGAGTCATCCTGAATAGGATTGGCAGAACACTAGATGAAGGAGAACCATGCAAGCAAGCCGGGTTCCACAAAGGATTGCAGCACCATCGACCATATCCACACGATAACCAAGCTCATTGAGGTTTCTCGGGAGTTCAAGATGCCACTCTGTTTAACGTTCATTGATTTAAAGAAGGCCTTTGATTCTGTTGAGACTGAAGCGGTCATTGAAGCCCTAGCCAATCAGGGCATTCAAGCCCAGTACATCAGGATCCTCCGTGAGCTGTATTGCGGATTCACTACCAGGATCTCACCATTCTACAAAGAGGTGATCATTGATGTCAAGAGAGGGGTTCGGCAGGGTGATACCATTTCACCGAAACTCTTCAGTGCCATCCTCGAGAACATCATGCGACGACTGGAATGGGAAGGAATGGGAGTGAAGATAGATGGTCGGCAACGACACCACCTCCGCTTTGCTGATGACATTGTTTTAATAACACCAAACATCAGCCAAGCGGCACAAATGCTGGCCAACTTTGACCGTGAGTGTGGAAAGGTAGGACTACAGCTGAATCTTACGAAGACAATGTTTATGAGAAACAGCCTCGTTCCTGATGCTCCATTCGCTCTCAACGGAACGACCATCTCTGAATGCGACAGTTATGTGTACCTAGGTCGAGAAGTCAACATGACGAATGACCTGGCACCTGAGTTGCGCAGGAGGAAGAGAGCAGCTTGGAACGCCCTCAAGAGTGCTGAAGAAATAGCTAAGAGGATGAAGAACCTCCGGCTTCAGGCACATCTCTTTGATTCCACTGTTCTTCCTGCATTAACATACGCCTCAGAGACCTGGGCCCTACGAAAAAACAGGATGAGAACGGGTCTTCCAAAGAGGAATTGAAAGAGCTATGCTTGGAGTATCACGTTTCACTCAAATGAGAGAAAGAATCTGGAGTTCTGACCTCCGTCAGGGACGCTGTCTCGTTTGCCAAGGCGTCAAAAATCAGATGGGCTGGACATGTA